GAAAAATCGATAACCCGGAATTGCCGAAGTCCCGACGAGTCCTGATTAACGACTTTTGACTGTAGTATGCGGTGTAACTGAAAATCGAGTAAAAACATTTTATGATAAAATTATTATATCTGAAACTGCAAGATAATTTTCTTTTTTCCCTTTTTGTAATTTATTGTGTACTTTTCTTTATACCTTTCTATTAAAACTTGTTATTGAGTTCTTACATTTCCTTATTTTTCAAGTGTTAGAATACTATATGAAATTTTCCTGCAGTATAATTGATTTTTCAGTAAAATAAAAATTTATTTTTGATTTGTGGCAATATTCTTACTTTATGAAATCACAAAACTTGTTTAAAAGAACTACAAAACTCGTTTAAGAACATCTTATTACAAATAATGTTTTAAACATTTAATACTTCTAAAATCTAAATTTATAGGTGATGAAAGCATAAATGAAGAAGTACGTCGTACTCAATTAATCACACTACATAAGAGAAACATTTATGAAAGTCAGTAAACATGTATTGCTACTATTTCACCATTTTTTTTTTTTTTTTTTTTTAATTTGCATTTTTAAAATTCTCTAAAATAGGGCATAAATAATATAATGATAGAAATAAAATGACTGCATAATAGGTATATAAAGGGGCTGAAATCTGATGTAAGAAAGTTAATTTTATTATATTATGCAACGATGAATTTCAGTCATGAAGTTGGAAGGTTTGTTTAGAAGGAGATTCTGATATAACCCTAGAGCTTCTGTGGAAGTTTATATTGTTGGTCGTGAGGCATCCCTCCTTAAGGCAGATATCTGTAAAATACTTTTCCATAATCCAAATAATCCTAATCCCTTAGTTCTCAGTGAAGGTATTCCTTCTGTTAGGTAGCTAGCACACATTTTATCATTCTCAATTAAACTAGCAAACCTCTTTAAATGTAATAGCTTTCATTTCCATAGAACATTTTAAAATTTAGGAAAATATTTTTTGTTATCTACATGAGCATTAAAGTTATATATGAATGGAAAATACTCAAATAATTATACCAAAACTAAATAAATTATGGTTATTAGAGAAAAAATTCTGAAATTTGTAATTTTCTTTTTTTGGTTTGTTAAAGATGTCTTCAAATTAATCCATAATAAAATTATTACTTTCAGGTTAGGTTAACTTCATATGGACTATCTGCCTAAGGAAAGGGATGCTTCCATGGAGGACCTTTCTTAGGGAAACTAGCACCCAAAGTATTTATTTTCATGACAGGAATTTCTCTTATTTTGTTCTCAGAAGCACTATCATAATATTCGAAAAATGTCTCTTCTGCCTAGTGATGGCTCGGAAACTGAACGTGAATGATTTCACGGAAAGAATTTTAATATTTAACTGTTCAGTTTTCATTGTTCGCAATGAACGCTGTCTAAATAGCAGATCTTTCATTTTCAGCATTTAAAACAGTTATCATATGCGTGAAAAATATTATTTATATATAAAGTGAAAAAGGAACCACTCTCACATTCGATTTTTCCGATAATTGATAGAAACAATGCCAAGTGCGCATAATAGTCAAATGTAGTAGTCCAATGATCATTTGAAAATAAATACAATTCACTATGTCCGTGAGCATGCGCATAACGTGCCTTCCGTAAGGAGCCGATCGCAGCCATCCCTGTTTTGAGCCGCTAGTCTTTACTTGTGGATAAGTCTTCAGATGGCTAGTCAGATGTTAATTCACCCCCTACCCATGTAAATATCATCTATCCTCACCCCATCCACAAATGCCTCAAAGACAGCAATTTAAGATATGTACTGTGTAATATTTAATTGTAATGTGTTTAAAACTTAAAATTGCAGTATTTTTTTTAGCATTTTTTAATTGCTTATTTGATAGTGATAATAGCTAATTCAGAAGTCAAACAACAAAAATCAGCGTTAATTTACAAAATTTTGACTAGTTTCGATGGTTTTACCAAACCATCATCTTCAGCTGCAAAACCGCAAATTATTTGTATGGTTTTGTTGTTTTCTGAATTAGTATTTATTCGGCGTGTTATTGTGTCTTAGTGATAATAATAATAGCTCTTATGTCATAAGCAGTGTTAGGAGATATGTGTAGTGAATCTAGTAACATTTTATGAACAATCATTCAGAATGTAATTTATTTGTATGGTGAATAGCATTTTTTATTATATGTCCAAATTCTTTGTAAATAGAAAATACAAAATTAAAACACACAGAACACTTAAAATTCAATTTTGTCTATCAATATTACCACAATATTTAGTATCTTTTAAACAAGATAGTTTAATGTAAGAGTATAATATAACACTTTAATAAAATTTACATACATTGTAACTAATTTTAAAAATTCACTAGATTCACTAAATTTAAGAGTGCTCACAAAACTCTGCCAGAGGTTTGCAACTTCTTAACCCAATTATAAACACATACACTAAGAATAATAAATACTAAGCATATCTAATTTATAAGAGTAAACAGAAAATCTCTAACCATAAAAAAAAAAAATTTTTAATTAAAAAAAAAAGAGAAAGACGAGGGCACCACAACTTTCTTATATGGGCTATTAAATTATACATACTTTTTGCAGCCTTCCTTGAATTACTCGAACTTAAGTAACTGATATCTCAAAGGAAGTTGAAAATGACATCAGAATCTGCAAATTTTGAAATTATATATCCCAGTCAATTTTTGATGTACAGGAGTCAAAAATCTTATAATTTTATTTTTTCATAACTTTCCCAAATATGAGTATAGAAACCAGAAAATTACATTAAACGTCAGACTTCATTATTTGTTGAAAATTCCCCCCCCCCTTTTTTTTTTTTTTTTTTGTTATTTGACATTGTCAAAACATAAAAATTTTTGACATTTAAAACACTTTTGTAACTGGAAGCATATGACTGTAACCAATAACAATAATACAATGACTGGAAAAAAAAAAGTTGCACAGTTGCAACAAAAAAAAAAAAAAAAAAAAAAAAAAAAGGCCAGGTAAGGGCTTTTAAGCTGGGGAAGATATATATATATATATAAAAGTAGCAAGACAACTTGAATTAGAGAGACTTTAGTGGTCAAGAATTTTGCGCATTGAGCTGCAAATTTTTTTAAAATTTAATAAGTAAGAAGAATGTTAAAAAGGTAACGCTAAAAAATATGTTTTGACACTATAGTTCCTTGGTAAAAATGTAAAATCATGTCACAATTAGAAATAATAATAAAGTAGTAAAAACTATCTCATAAAAATTAAAGTTAAAAATTACAAATCGAGATGACTTCAACATAAAAAAAAGGGTGATAAAAAATACAAAAATTTTAACATACAAAGAATTTTAAACAACTCTTTTAAAATTAAATATATTTCAAATACACAGTAAATATGTACAAAAACATGCCATAAATGGTAAATAGCTCAACTTGAGGTTAGAGCCGGATTTATCAAGGGAAAAGCAACTCAAATCCTGAATTAAGTTAATGCCTACAGTGCATTTTGTGAAACAATAATAATTGAGATTATAAATGTAATTTCACTAATAGAAAAGTCCAACTCAATAATCTAAAAAAGTTCGGCAAGTCTCAATTATATCATTCCTTTTCCCGATGCTATATATATATTGGGTTTTAATGAAAGTTTCCCGCCACTGCAAATATTCTCTGCGCAAACAATTTGTGTTGCTCTGAAAAATCATATTTTGTCAAGCAATTTTTGGCATTTGAAAGAAACAGGCTTGCTTTAGAACACTGTGTTGTGAAATCTGTAAAAACATATCGCTATCATTAAGTAGAAGATGTCTGAAATGAAACTATTACGCTACCAGATTAGTATCATCATTTACTTCCAGTTTTGTTGCAAAAATTCAGCTACAGTATATCACCAAATCTTGAGTACAAATAGGTACTAATGTTGTATTATATGACTATGTGAAGGTTTGGTACCGAAAGTTCAAAAACAAGGTCTATGACATTCAAGAAACAGAGTGCTCTGGCCGGCCTACTGATGTTGATGAGGCCTGCCTTCGAGAACTTGTGGAAGATCATTATGCAACTACTCGAGAGCTTGTAAGGAGTTAGACGTTAGTGCCATGTACATTAATCATGCTATGCATCACATAAACTTTATGTACAAGTTCAATTGCTGGGTGCTGCATGAGCTGATTCAAGAAGATAAGGGCAGATGTGTTCAGGCCTACATTAATCTGCTCGAATATCAATGCAAGGACAAAATTCTGAACCGAATCATTATTTTAGGGTGAAAAGTGAATTTACTTGAACAACTAAAAAAGATGGGATTGGTCATGTCCGGTGGGCTCGTCGGCAGTGTCGCAAAGCACAATTTTATTATCAAAAAGATAATGCTTCGTATCTAGTAGGATTGCCATGGTATTATCTATTAAGAGTAATCAGGAAATCTCAAATATTAAAGAAGGGGGAGATCTCTTAAGCAGCTGTAAATAAAGGGGAAGATTTTTAGAAAGCATTGAAGTACTTTCTGACTACCTTCCACTGAAACTCGTTGCTGAATCTGGAGAGCATTCATCAAAATAGTAGGCAATTTTGGAGAGAAATGTTTGTTTGAATATTTTTACGTTTAATTCAATGACACATCAAGTGCCGCCTATGTTTTCACAATTTTCTCTTTCCATATAAGATATAGTCACTTCTCAGTTTTTAATGTGCTAGTCTTCCCATATATGCAGGAATCTATTTTCATTAAAAAAAAAAAAAGTCAAGACACAACACACAATTTCAGCACCAAAATCCTAAAATGAGAAGAAAATGAGCCATATGATGCCTTAAAGAAAACCACATATATGCACAATGTTTGCAGAGAGTAAAAACCAAGATTTTGACAAAGACAATGAAACTGCAGTATATGATTCACAGCTATGTTAAAATGCTGTAGTTCCCATAGGAGTTATCATAATCTGCATTCGCACTGCTGAAAATATTCAGAGAAGTGGAAATTGTCTGAAAGGTGATATTATACGAATACCTGGGGTTGCCACATAAATACTTTTGGGCAACATGGTGCATTGCCTTGATACTTTTTGCGGCTTTTCTGGTAGGATGTTGATAATCAGAAAGTATCAATAAAACATCTGAAAAAGAAAAACAAACTCAAAAATGATATTAAAACATGAAATTATATAAAATACAGGAAAAAAAAGAAAACCAATTATTTTGAAGTTCCAATCTGTACTGAGTGACTAAACTATCAAAAATGCTAGTGACAGGAGTTACTGGTTGCTGATCAGTACTGTTATATTTGCACAGTTTTCTAACTTCATGTATTACTTACTGTTAATTGAAAACAGACATTTATACATCAATTTAAGCAAATACTGGCAGAAGTGAAAAACTTTACTATGAGCACTTTCCTTGGGATATTTTAGATTCCTAACTCTATAATAAAAAACACTATGACAATAAAATAAAACTTTGAAATTAAAATTTCCCTGCTATCTTTTAGAGTTTGTGAAAACATCAGGTAATCATATATGTATATTTAAAAGAACTAAAATAAAATGAAATATAATTATTCATATTTTAAACCTGATGACACAATTGGTTGAAAGATTTCCTCTATACCACTTAGTTTGTTCTGTAAAATATTTAATCTTTTAATTAATGTTAATGACTTTGAAGTCATAACTTTTTGATTGTTAAAATAAATTATAATTGAACATAAAGCAAAATGAATTTTCTGGAAGTATAACATGCATTAATGGCTCTGAAGTGCCACAGGGAAAGAAGAATGAATAAAACTTCAATTCACAGTAATTTTCACACATTTAGCAAATATTAAAATATAATTTAAGTTTATTATGTAAAACAAAATCAACTAAGAGAAGTTCACATTCCATCTTTATTCATTATTCTGGATTTAATTTATATACCACTGTTCAGATTCATTTAAAAAATAATTTGATAATTTGAAGATTTTGATAACTACACATACTGAGAATACTAGCATATTGTTACATCAGAATGAAATATTATGGCTCTTATATAATTTTCACAATCCTTTACACAAAAACAAAATACTTGCTCAATATTCTTACTTAAATTTTTGATAATACGGTATTTTATTATAGAAACAGAGGACTAAATAAATAAAATAAAGACTTCTAAGAATACAGTCAATACAGAGATAGCTTAGATCCCTGATTTACAAATCCAACATACGCTTTATGTCGTCAGCTAATTTTTGGTGTTTTGCAAAATGTTTTGTAGATTATTATTTTCTTACAGAATCATAAATTTTAATTCATAATTATTAATAAGCAGTTATTTATTTGTTAATTTTACATTATTTATTTCGAATATTTTCCATCTTTTTCAGCAACCACAGACATTTGGCTAGCAAAATACTGCCAATTTAAAAATTATAAATATAATGATGAAAAGTTTGAGAACTGCCCGAGATATAAAAATCTACTTGAAATTAACACAGTCAGGCTTGCATACCATCATGATTAAAATATTAAAACGTTCACCTGAATTACGCATTAATAAAAGGTTTCGGTAAGTATTAGTAAGAACAAGTAGATATATAAAAATGATGAAAAGTGATTTTAAAATTAATCAAAGCTTTTTTTATATATACGGGAAATGAAATCGCAAACCATTCACAATAAAAGGAAAAAATTTATCAAAATTAATGGAAAACGCTAGTTCATTAAATTAAACATGTAACATAAATTCTTTGTTAATCATATTAATAAGAAGCCTCCCAAAATTAGCACCAAAGAGAGAAATTTTCCACAAAGCAATAGTATAGCTGTATCTAATTGACAACTACAAATTCTTTGTGTCATTTCATTTGCTTTATCGCTAATACTTTATTAGAATTTTTTTAATTATATAATTATCACTTTACTCATTTAAGTAAATATTCTGCGTTCTATATAAATACAAAATAAAATAATAATAATAAACGATATATATGTATTTTAAGAAAATTTACTAATGATAGTTTAACTTCCTTATTTTCATTAACATTTTGCTTTTAAAGCGGTATATCCACATTCCAAAAATTAAAAGTGATCAAGGAAAATGTATACATAAACAACGCTCAGCTGTTTGACAGCATTTATTTGAAAAATAACCTTGTTGCCAATCATTTCTAAGCATATTTTAAGCAAATGTTGTAAATATCAGTCGGCGCTAAATCCCCAAACACGGAGAGAGGTCCCGTGACATGCATATTCACAAAGCCTACAGACCTTTTCTACTATGGTGTGCTCCGATTGGTTAAAACAGGAAACGTAGGGTTACAGAATCTTGGTCTTGGCGATTTTTGTTTCATCGCCGTTGCTATTTGTGTTTGAGGGTGGTGTATCAAAACGTGTTGATATAAAAATAGCGCATACTGGAATAAAATATAATATTAGTCATACTTACTCATAATTTAAGAAAAACGAATATATATCCGACAGCCTTAAATGTTTATTGAATGTTTTCATTTGGTTTATGTTGAGTATTGATTTATTTTACCATATTCCTCCGCTATCTTCAGAAATGGTTTAGTTTAAACCTTGCATAACTGTGTGCTGTGAAAGTTATATATTTTCCTTTCGTTATACATTTTCATTGGGGATGCCTAAATTACAATAAACATATTAAATTCATACAGTGTAAATGCTCGGCTTTCTAAGCAACATATATATGTAATACGAGATACCATCGCGATTAAACCTCAGCCACAAATAAAATATTTCAGTTATGATGTGACAGGCTTTCCAAAAAATATAAAATACATTGTGATATTACGAACAGAATTACCAAACTTTCATCAGTCATTTCTCCTGTATAATTCTCTGATGACATGATATCCATCTTTTCTCACTGCTATCTTAGCATATTAATGGTACAATAATCTGAATTGAAATGATAGTGGCAAACCATGAAAAAGAGCTGCACAATTGTCTTGTGGACTGACTGTTAATTTGCTATTCATAAAGATATCTGGATTAAGCAATGCTGAGTTCCAAAATAAATGTATTTATCAGTATATTTTGAAACTAACCTAAGTTAATGCAAATTTGATTTTTTTTAGAGTTTGCTTTCCTGAAATAGTTATAATAATAAGTTTTAGGAATATATACATGAAATAAAGTTGTATACTGTATGGCATGTTTAATACTTTCAACTCCTGTTTGTTCAAATTCTATGAAATACAATGTTATATTTCATTTTGTGCATAACATAAAAATTTAGTTAAAACTTCTAAAGCATATATATTTTGCAGTATCTTAAACATAAATTTTAGTACAGTAAGACCCCGCTTAACGCGGGGGATACGTTCCATCAAAGTAGAGCGTAATGCGAAACAGCGCTAAACGAGGCTATCTTTACATGTAAATATTGGGGTAAGATGGCTAGGAAATTGGTTAGGTATTAAATTTAAAAAGTATGTTTTTTTAATAAAAATAAAACCAAACATTTATTTCTTAAAGCCCAAATTAATACCACATTATTATTTCTTGCAAAAATAAAACAAAATATAAATAACAAAACGAATATTCTTAAAAAAAAAAATAAAATTCTAAGTCAGTCATATTTAGTTAGCCTTCCGCGTTCGTTTCGGCATTCTTTTCCAAAACAAGCCTGTTTTATCAACATTAAAAACCAATTCTGGAGGATAGTTTCCTTCTTCAATTATTTTTTTTTAATATCGCTGGAAATTCAGCCACCGCTTTTGTATCACCACTTGCTGCTTCTCCTGTAATCTTTATGTTGTGAAGGTTATTTCGATGTTTAAATCTATTAAACCATCCTCGACTAGCAACGAAAGTTTCACTTTTGTCAATTGTCTCAGCCTGAATGTAATTAAAAATTCTTCTAGCTTTTTCCATTATGATAGATTGGCTTAATGGCATATTGCGGTCAATTTCGTCGTCAATCCATATAGACAGTCGTTTTTCCATTTCCTCTATGATATTATTTCTACAACGGGTAATTCTAGTTGCAGAGCTTGACGTAGTTGCAGTTGTCGATGACAGTATTTTTCTTTATTCTTCATGATGGTCCTTATTGTTGAAGTTGGCAAATTCAATGAAGCACTAATTAGAGTTTGACGTTCACCAGAATCTAATCTTCTAATCACTTCCATTTTAGTTTTGAGTGAAATGCTTTTTCTGGTTGCTTTCTTTTTCTTTTTTCATTATCACCCATAGTAAAAAACTAAAGATCAAAAATAGTTGACACTGTAATATAGTATTACATATGTAAATTAATACCTACTTACAATAATGTCAACAAATGTTTCCAATAATAAAAATATGTCTGTACAATACCGCACCAAACAAGAAATACAAGTACACTCTTTCGGATATGTATTTGAAACCCATCGCTGCATAATATTTCGGGGAATCTCCGTATGCTGCGAGCGATTTCGTGGAATCCCCGGGTTAAAATAAAAGAGCGCTAAACCGAAATAGCGCTAAACGAAACAGCGTTAAGCGGGGTCTTACTGTAATATGAAATGGAAAGAACAATTTGTCATTAAAAATTTTCCCTTTCTATTTATAGTATCTGACAGCTATATTGCATACTGAACTGAGAAGCAGCAATAAATTTTGTTTAAATTTTGTCTTATAAATAAATCAAATAAATATTTCTATATATGCAATAGTAAAATGCTGTATACAAAAAAGTAAAGTAAACCAGGCATGCGGCATCTTCCCAACGGTTTTCCGTCTCTCGAGATATTTTTGCAATGTAGCAGATTTTGATCCGTCTATAGGAATTTTTAGCACTTTAGCATAGCTGAGAACTGCAGTTTTCCATTTTTGGAAAAATTCTGACTTAAATTTCTAGACAAATAGAACAATGTGCCTCCCTTAAAGTGCTCTTTTTTTTCTTTAGTATTTTGGTGCTGAGGTTGTGTGCAATGCCAATTTTGTGCAGTTCTCTGATTTTTAAGCAAAAACTGGTTGCTGTTTACACAAGAACAAAAGCACATACACACACAAAAAAAAAGTGTGCATATTTCATATGGGAAAAGAAGAATGTAAAAAAATTGCATCACTGACGCATCCCCAACCAAATGTCTCTCGTTAGTTTCGGTAATGAGTTTGCACTTTTTGGTGGGGATGCAGATAGTTGGGAAGTCCCGAGCAAACTTATATGCTTTTACTAATAAACTTGTAAATAGTTTCATTTTTTTTATTTTAACCCTTTGCAGTCATATATCTACTCTCAACCACCAAAGCATTTTTACCGTTCCAATCATTTGTCTGTTGTCAACTACCACGGCAAAGAATCATATTTATCTCATATTATTTTAATTATATTGATCTCATATTATTTTAATTATATTGATCTCATATTATTTTAATTATATTAAGCAGAGAAGCTTCATAATGTTGCATATTAAGTGTTACTGTTCGTTAAATGAAAATTAGTTCTGAGCATAAATCATTTATAACTTACAATTTATGTAACTATGTTAAAATAAAGATTCTATATTTCATATGACTTATTTTAAATTGGCGGAAATTCTTGGTAGTTGGTTGTGGTTACAGCCAGGACTTAGAAGAGAAGGGCTAGCTCATAGAGCTTTTCCCCCCTGAAGCAGAAAGTGAGAAGTGATGACGTAGCCATGATGACACTGAGCGCGCAGATGCAATTCACAGCTTGAAAATTAGCGATTTTGAACCAGCGTTTGAAATGAGCTGTGTGTGAAAGATAGCTATAATTTAGAAGAGACAATGTTACTGCTTTATGCATTTTAGACTGAACCATTAAAAAATTTAATAATACTTACTCAATTTTAAAATAATAGATAAAATGTGCTACTCTTTTAACATAAAGTTCCGTGGGTTTTTTTCAATTTTATTTGCAGGTTTTTTTATTTAATGAACGTTTATTTCTAATCATTTCTTTATCTGCATGTGAGCTGAGAGAATTTTTTATACTTTAAGATAACTATAAGCAACTATAATAGCAGCTATTTAAAAAACAAAATTACTCAAAAAAACAATTTTACATTGACATAGTTTTAAAAAACATATGGCAATTGGGTAATTGATTTTTTTACATTGTTATAATTCCCTTCCGATTCAATATAATAATTTTTTAAATAATTTTGTAATTATACTTATATCTATATTACAATTAAATAAATGTATGTAAGATTGTTACTTTAATTTTGACAAAATAGCTTTACTCAGAGTACCTAATACAGATTAATTTTTCAAAAAGTGTGAGTAAAGGAAGCAAAGTCTTTCTTTATGCCAATTACTTGATGTTTTATACTATTTTTATCTAGAATGCTATTTAGCCAAAATCTAATCAATAATTTACAAAGGATACAATAAAAATAACTTTAAAAAGACTTAACAATTAGTTTTAAATACTTGTTATTCTTGTTGGTACTATTCATAATACCGAAGATATTATCGATTAACTCATAGAAGTCAGATGCTTTTTGATTTCCTGTGGGATGGAGTATAGCTTTTGCCGTACTTTTTGAAAATAATGTTTTCTCTGGAGCGACTTTTTGTCTCTCGTTTCCTTTGACCTTAAATAATTCGGTTTTAGTTTGTGACATAATTTGATTTCTTCTCAATCTCTATTTAAAACCTCTTTAATAATAACAAAATTTAAAACAGTTCCATCTTCTAAAACAAATCCTTTATCTAAAACGTGGTTTCTCAGTAATTTGAGGCAGAGCGCGAAATGAGACCTCTGATTAAAACAAACTGCACATTTTGAAAAGAACCGAGAACTTGGTCCAGTTTAGAGTCATAGCAGAGTTTTCAATCTAGATGCATTTCGTCGAAACTGAGAACGCATATTTTTTCTACAGAATACAAATATTCGTCTCTTTCCTTCTTTAGAGTAAGAACATCACTTTGAATTCTTCGACTACACTAAAATTTAGCGCACCATTTCT